CTCACCCCAATCCCAGCCGCCCTCGGAGAAGCTCTGGGTACCACAGGGGAGGTCCTTCCTGGGGACCCCTGAGTCTGCTCAGCTAAGCCTTCGATAAGCTAGGGGAGGAGACTTGGTAGAAATGTCCAATAGGCCCAGCGATGTGCCCACCTTCCCCACTTCAGACAGGTCTGTACTATTTTACCTGGAGGCAGAGCTGAGCTAGGTAAAGCCAGATCTCTGAGTTATGGTAACTTATCCTGGCCCCAGCTGGTTTCTCAAGGTTGTAATGGTCCTGAAAGCAATGTTGATTTTGTGAACATAAGGTGTTATCTAAATATTTACTCAAGTACTATGGGTAACTTCTTTATATATGGTCCCTTCTGACCCCCAGATCTTCCTCTGCCTTGTATGGGCCCTTCTTGGATGTGTGGTTTCTAAGAGGCAGAGGGTTGGCTCTAGGGATGGGGAAGGTACCAATGGGAATGGGATTTACCTCCTACCAGGGGTGGTTAACTTTAGAGAATTTACCATCCCCTGAAGATGCGATAGCCACAAACAGGCAGGCTCAGGTCCCTCTCAGGAGGAGGCTGCAGGAGAAGGGCATGCCCAGGAGAAGTGCCTGTTGCTCTGGTGAAGGGGACTGTGCTCATACTGCTTTCCCCCACCCCCACTCTCCACCCCATTGTCTCCTCATTTCACCTCCTTCTGTGTGGTGGTAGGACCTGCGGGAGGAGTGCATCAAGCTGAAGAAGAGGGTGTTTGACCTGGAACGGCAGAACCAGATGCTGAGTGCCCTGTTTCAGCAGAAACTCCAGCTCACAACAGGCTCCCTCCCTCAGGTGGGCACAAGCCGTTCTTCCCTCATCATATCTCAGATTCCTGCCTCCACAAGCCCCATCATCATCTCCACCCTTTTTTTTCCCCAAACACCTACAGAAGCAAGCTGTTAGCCATTCCCCTCCATTCTGGGGCCTGTCCATCCAGGGAAGGCCTGCCTAGTCTGATAGATATGAGCCTTAGATGGGGTAAAAAATCCCTAAGACCCCTTTAAGTGGGCTGTACCTCACCTCACCGGTGCTCCCCACCCAGCTGAGTGGCATCGCTTCGTGATGACAAAGAAGGTTCTTGTTCTTACCCTGTGTGGGGAGATGGGTGGAGGCTGAAAATAAAATTATTTCATGCTCCCAAGGGACCCCTTTGGCCACTGCATTTCCTCTTCTTGGCCAGAGGTAGGGTGGGACTGGGTGGAAGGCACCCATTGCTTGGTGTCACAGAAAGGTCAGGAAAGGCACTTGACTGGATAACTGTGTGTGCATATTGCAGTGCTCACTCACGACTCTGGCCACAGACCCTGGTCCCTGCTTCTAGCCCTGACACCTGCCTTACCCAGGAGAAGCAGGAGGATACTAAGATGTCACTTGGGGTCACTCGATCAGGAAGCCTCAAGGGTGGAGTGAGACGTGGGGGTGAGAGGATCAGGAGCAACTCTAGGTACCTGAGCTGAACAGCAGGTTCTAAAGTCAGATGACATACACCTCACCTCACCCCACCCCTGACCTTGACAAGAAGAGAAATACTCTGTGTGTGTGTGTGTGTGTGTGTGTGTGTGTGTGTCTGTCTGTCTGTCTGTCTGTCTGTCTGTCTATCTGATGCAAACCAGGCAGCTCTTGGCCCCCGGACCCTAAGCAGGATGCCCTCTGCTCCTTGGGAAGCCTGACCCCTGGCAGAGGAAGCCTGTCATCACCATGGCCTTTCTGTAGCCACTGTCCACCAGGCTGGTGCAGAGCTGGGCGAATCAGCGGCAGGGACTATAGCTTCCCCGGCCCTGAGTCCTGCCCTGCTACAGAGTTCACCCTGGAATCCCCAGAGTCCTAAGCATACCGGCCAGTCTCGCTCCGTCTATACTATTCTCAGTTACTGCTGATAAAAGAGGTGTCGGTCATCCTTAAATCATTTCTTTTTCACTTAAATGACTTCTGGGATTTGAATTTAGGATTTTTAAATGAATTTTGGAGTTTGGGACAATAGATTTATCTTCCCCAGAGGTGACATGACAATGGAAAGAACATGAACCTTGGCCTCAGATAAACTTGGATTAGATCCCTAACTTAGCTAATTCTTAGCTGTATGACCTTGGGCAAATTATGTAACCTTACGAAGCACCGTTTCTTATAGATAGGGATAAAAATATCTATATTGCAGGTTATTGTGATGATTAAATGAGATAATATGTAGTGCTTGGCCCATAGTAGTCAATGATTGGCAACTATTTACTATTATTAATGTTATTCTCAAGTTGTGCTTTGCCAAGATGAAAGCTCCATTGAGCAAATGCTAATTTAGCTCTTATTGTGAGCAGTACCTCTGCCACTACATATGGAACTGGACAGGGCTGTGGCCTGTGCAGAGCAAATGTAACCCCCAACGTCTGGGACTTTGCAAGCTACGGACAGCAGTCTGTGCAAAGCAGTAGTACAACAGTAGTACAAAGCAGAGCGCGACAGTGCTGTCCAAGAGCCAGAGGGGAGAAGAGGCCATTAGACACTGGCTGGGAGGGTTCCTTTAACGAGGTGACGTTTGGCCTGGGCCTTGATAGATGGGCGATTTAAAAAGAATGGAATAGGCGGTGGAGAAAAGGGATTCCCTGGGGAAGGAACAGAGCAAGGAAGTCTATGGAGTAGCAGGCTGTTCAGCTGGGCTGGAATAAAGGGTGTGTGAAGGAACAATGAGTGAGACAGAGCTGGAGACACTGTCAGGGAAGAACCGGCAGGCCAGGCCCTGATTGCTGGCAGAGGAGTTCAGACTTGTCTCCTTAGGCAGTGGACACGCATAGGAGGCTTTCAGCACAAAGATGCTTTAGAAAAAAAAGAAAAAGGTGCTTTAAGCTGCCTTGTACACTGGATAAGGAAAAGCTACCAAACTGGGTCAAGGAGACTAAAATGCTGAGCAGTGTCCAGGCTAGAAACATGAGGATCTGTGCTGAAGGAGTGGCTGCAGGTGGCCAGAGGGAAGGTAGAGAGATGCTGCAGAGACAGGATTTAAAAGATATGGAGAACGAGAGAAAGGAAAGTGTTAAAGTTGACTGTTATCTAGTTAAGATGCCTCAGCGAAGAAAGTATCATTCTCAGAAACTGAGAGAGAAGTGACTCATATTTAAATACTTCTTTTGTAATCCTCAGTGTAGAAGTTTCACATGAGACCCGTTAGGGGAGACAGAAGTGATAACTCCTGCCATCTTTTCTAGGACCCAGGAACAAAATGCCTCTTCTTTTAGTCTCAGCCTGTGATGCTGGGGTCACAGGCAGTCAGAACAGGAAGGACCCTCTCTGTATTCGGGGAGGAAGCCCCACAGAAAAGCAGAGTGATCCTGGAGGCACAGTGGCACCTGCATTAGGCCTGCCACTGCCCCTCTTTCTCCAAAGCCCCCTGACCGGTCTCACCTCCCTACCACCTGGCTATGCACTTCTTCAGTCTGCCAGTGCTGTGGTCTCCCGAGGCTCCTCTGACCAGGTGGTGGGGACAGTGGTAAAAGCACACCTTGGGCCAGATGTCTCCGAAGGAGAAAACTTGGAAGGATATTTTCCTTCCCTTGGATGGGATGGCCTAGCTCGTGAGGGAGTAGGGACCTGGGACAGAGCACCTGTGCTAACTCTACCTCTTCCTGCAGATCCCATTTGCCCCTCTCCAGCCTCCTTCCGAGCCACCAGCCTCCCCCTCCCTGAGCTCCGCCGAGGGACCAGCCACCTCACTGCCTCTGGGGCGCTGTACTGGGCAGAGAGAGGTAGGAGGGCAGGGGACCGTGGTCTGTGTCCTCACTGAGCCTCTATTGCTGTTTCCCGATGAGTCCCAGGGGAAGGGCTGCTTGCTTCCTGATGTACAGATTCTTGTCCAGGGCTGGGTGTGAGCCCTCAGTTTCACCTCATACCAAGAAAAACAGATCTCCACCCCCAACCACTGGCCAATGTGTTAGTACTGCCGTAAGAGTCATAGTTTACTCTGTGCCAGGCACTGTGCTGAAGACCTGGATCTCATCTATCTTATTTCATGAGGGTAAACATAATTACCATCACATTTTACAGATGGTACAATGAAGCTTAGAGATTAAATAAATTTCCCAAGGCCGTATAACTAGTTAAGTGGTAGATCTGGGACTTGAACCTACAGTCTGGCTCCAGAGCCCATGGAGTTAACCACTACATCATACTGGACTGGGCCCAAGAAGGGGCCTGGCCAAAGCCAGGAAGGGCTTGCGATGGAGTTACTCCCAAGCCCGTTCTCCTTGAGGATCAGGTCAGCAAGCCACTGTTGGACCCAAGAAGGCCTGGGCCTGGCCTGCAGTGACTGACTTAGGACTTGGCCACATCACATCCCTTTCTTGAGTGTTCTTTCTGGAGCCTAAAAATGGACAGGCTTCCCTCTCCTGACATAAGTATAGCTGTCAGAGTTGTAGGTGGTCAGCCCTGTAACCCAAACAGCAGTGAGAAGTGGTGGAGAAGTGGGATTGGGATAACCAGGAAGGGAGGTGGGGTGCCCACCCAACCCCAGTTATGCCTAGAGGAAGAG